GTTCTTGAATCTGGAAAAATGCTTGAATTATTTACCCGGGTAAAGAGGGGTATACCCGGGTAAATCTCTGAAATTTCAGTCTTTAACACAAGATTTCTACAATACAATAGATCATGTTTGATGCTTTAATGTTCTGTTGGGGTATAAGTCTTTAACACAAGATTTCTATTTTCTTCTGTAATATCCCATGTAACAAAGATGGTGTAAAAATTCAAAAACAACCCCAAAAAAAAAAAAAACATTACACACTAAGAATAAAATCCGCGACGTATGGTCAATGACAAATCACACAAAAAGAATAAAGTAGCAAAGTATATATGCGATATGAGTGGATAAAATAATAAAGAAATAGTTCCATTGAAATCAGAATTTTTTTGATGGGATATCACATTTTCTATGTCGCGGAAGAAGAACGCTACTATTGTTCAATGAAGATGCATCATGAATAGAGAATGAGTCCTCTTTTTTTTTTTTTTTTACATAAATTTACAGAAGCTGTCCTCATTTATTATGTGAACCTAGTTACGCACAAAGAAAGATCACATGGGAAACACTCTTAGCGCTCTTTCTTCCAAGTCCTTCGAATTGAGTAGAGCTCCGGGTTATACAGAAAGTAATGGAGAGTATTATGCTTTTGAGGAGCAGAGTGTGTTTTATTGCGCTGATGATAGAACCTCCAAAGCTTCAATCAAGAAGATGAGACGATTCAGCAGCAACCGCGTGGAAAAATCCATCATCTCTGTCACAGATGGTGATAACGTAAATGCGCTTTCTTCACAGATGGGGTTTATGGTAAAGATTTACCCGGGTACACCCTTCTCTACCCGGGTAAATAATTCAACCATTTTTCCAGATTCAAGAACTATACCCGGGTACACCCCTCCTTACCCGGGTAAGCAAAAAATACCCGGGTAGGCTTGGTAGTCAATGGTCAAACAGGGGCAGATTGATGTTATGTTTGTTGAGGAGGTTAAATTTTTGAAATAGTTTATAATCAAGGTCAATTTGGTAATTAATTATTAAAAAAAGGTTATAAGGGTCAAAAAACCGAATATAATGTTATTCTCATGTTCCTATACTCTCCAATTCAATCAAGGGAAAAACTATTCTTCTGCTATATGTGATAACTTTCTCTCCTACACACCCTTCGATAACTGTGTCATCTTTTTCTTGTCTTTTCTTTTTATTTTTCAGGTGGTGGAGCCCACAAATTTATCTCTATGACATAAGATAACTTATCTCCTTTAACATGATATTAATAAAACGCTTCGATCAATGATATTCTTATTATAATAGCAAAGTTGTTTGATTCTCACTACCGCAAATCCCTTTTGCATCATAAGGAAACTATTCCTTTGAAAGCGTAACACAAAATGCAGACCCCATCGTAGTAATCTGTGCAGGATTGAGTGAACTTAGATCCATCACTATAACTCACTAGACCCTACTTGAGATAAAAAAAAAAAAGTGAATCTTAGAACTGCAAAACAAATTCAGAGAGGGATCAAATTAAAAATATAAAAAAGAAAATTAGTGAATGATAAAAGAAAACCCTCACAAAGGGGCCACTAAAAGGCCAACTTTACCTAGAATTATTTTCTTTACCAAGCATTTTATTAATCGCAGATCCACACACAAATTCTAGGTTAGTTTCATTTGTTCTATGTGGAAGGTGTAGTATACCTGCTGAGCCGCAACTATGCGAGTATGAAAATCATAATAAGAAAAACATGTTTCAAGACAGGGTGATCAAAGGATCATAAAGAAATAGATTCAGCGTATGTTGTAACCCTAAAAAAAAAAGGGATAAAATACGAAGGACCTAGAGAGAGTTGGGACAGGATGAGAGAAGATGTGAGAGAATGAAAGGTAAAAAATTAGGATTATAAGAATTAATCGTGAGCCATTGGATTTAATTTTATTCCAACGGTGATCAAATTAGTTGTAAAGGTGGTATACTTTAGTAGTGGTAAGTGAATCCTCCCTCTTTTTGATTTTATTACCTCTTATTACCAAATTTTAACTATTGATTTTTGTCAATATAACGGTTATAATTTATTAAAAATTTAATAATTAATTAATAGGATACGGTTATACTTACCACCAGGTAAGTTTACCACCCTTACAACCAATCTCATCACCGTTAGATTAAAATTAAATCTAACGATTCATAATTATCCCTCGTCATTCTAAATTTTTTCTCTCATCCCCTCTCTATCTCTTTCTCTCTAAGTTTGGAATCTGCATATCTCTTTCTCTTTCTAAGTTTAGAAATCAACTTTCTCATCCTCTCTTTATTGTTACAGTTTTTTGATCTTCAATTCCAATAAAAATATCATACCAAAATAAATAATCGGACACTCTGAAATCGTAATTCTTTTGAAACTAATACATTATATATGGACGCTGAATTTGGAAATCATAATTCTCTAAGTTTGGATTTGGGTCATCAAGTGCAGTAACGATGAAGATTTATTTTGCTATACAGCATCCATTTGGCTATTTACCGAATTGAAATTACGAATCTCACGGTTCATCAAATGCATATGAATTGATTATTTGTTTTGGAGATTTATTTTTGTTGAAGATCAAAGTGCAGTAACGATGAAGAGCGGATGAGAGAGGTGATTCCCAAACCTAGAGAGAGATGTGTAGATTCCAAACCTAGAGAGAAAGAGAGAGACAGAGAGGGGATGAGAGAAAAAAAATTAGGATTATAAGGGATAATTATGAACCGTTGGATTTAATTCTAATTTGACGGTGATGACATTGGTTGTAAGTAGGGGTGAAAGTGGGTTGGGCTGGGCCGAGCTTTGCCCCGAAAAGCCCAAGCCTACGTCAAAAAATTTCAATTTGGCCCGGCCCAAGCCTAGTATGAGTCTAACTGTTAGCCTGGTTTGGCCCGTTTATGAAAAAAAACAAATGGTCTGGCTTGGCCCATTAGCCTGTTAATTTTTAACTTCCAAACAGAACCATGAATCAACTATACAAAGTACTCAAATTCTATTGTTACACCAAAAATCATAATTTCAACGTCCAAACAGAATCATGAATCATAACAAAACTAATACAATATGCGTTTAAGTCGTTTTCAAAAGCAAAATGCTCAAATTAAATAACATATATTTCATCAGATCCAACAAACAAATCCATACAATGTAAATTAAAATAACTACATGAATCCAACAAACATATCATGATGCTTGTAGTAAGTATAACCTTTGCCAAAAAAAATTTAATATATTCATATACACAATCTAACATGTTGAGATGTTGGTTCCTCCTATATAAGAAATAAAGTGAGATTTCTATTAAAATATAATCGAATATGATTAAATTGTAAATAATTGCAATTGATTAAATTTATATCTTTTTTTTTCTTCAAGGCATACTTACTCTATTTTATTTTATTTTATTTAAAATAAATAGTACAATATAAGCCGGCCTGTAGGCTTATAGGCTCGGCCTTTTGAAAGTAGGCCTACGGCCTCTTTATTAAACAGGCTTTTTTAAGGTCTCAGCCCAGCCTATTATACAAAATATACTAGGTCAGGTCTAGCCTGATGTAGGCCAAGCCGTAGGCCCCTGTAGGCCGGGCCGGCCCAGTTTTACCCCTAATTGTAAGGGTGGTAAACTTACCTGGTGGTAAATATAAATGTCCCCTAATTGATAAATATAATCTAATAAATTATAAAATTAGCAGAAATCAATAGTTAAAATTTGATAGTAAAAATAAAGTATAACCTCCCCCATCTTAAAAATACTGAAATCTATAAAAAAAAATATTACCAAATTACCCTTAGTTTGAGCAAGAAATTTGGCCCTAGACAACTCCATAATAATCTATCACTTTTTATTATAAAAGATAATTATTACAGAAGTTATAAAGAATTTACAGTTATTATGTATCACATTTAGACTCACGAATTTATCCCAAAATAGCCCCACCCTCCTCTAAAAAGAAAAACCTGACTAAAAGATCAAAAGGATAAAAATCAACTAGACCGAATTGTTGATGATTTGCTGCATAGCAATCCCTTCACGCCTCTCCATTCCAAGTGGTGAAAAGATGGAGATTACAAAATTCTTTAGCTGCATAAAAAAAAAATGAAAACAATTAAACACCTAAAAGGAAATTAATTTATATGAATTTTAAGCATAATCAAATTACCTCAATTTGAACAGAAAAAATTTACCCCAAAAAGCACTCAAGACCTGATTTTGACTAATAAAGGTGTACGACATTTTTTTATAGTATTATAATTCTTAAAAAAATATATACTAAATTTCTCTCAACGCGCTTAGGTGATTCAAATTCTAGATTAAGACTTAACATTTTTTGTTGTTGTATTTTTCAGCTACATCCTAGACATTCTACAAGCAAAACTACGAGAATAATCCTTCGAGCTGGGAGAAATGATTAGATAATATTCTTCCAAAGTGACAATTCTAAAATTCAAACTCCAAACATTGTAGGTAAATTCATCTAGGGTTAGCAATCTATTGCAATCCAACCAACCACTATTTGGCATTTCATTGTCATCTTTTATATGATGCTACCAGGAGCCACACCATCACAAGCCCCTTTATATCGTTTCAACTTTTTAAGTAACCGTTTCAATAATCAATATCATATCTACTAAATATTTGGTTCTTTTAATCTATTTTGAATTTTAATAATTATAGTTTCAAATATTAAACACTTAAAATACCTTAATAAAAAATATAGTGACTAATCTTTTGTGAAAAAGAAGAACATGAAAAACGAAAAAAACAAAAATCTAAGTAAAATATATAAGACCGTCTCAAATTCGAATGCCTGATAATGGTCGATTACTTAAAAGTGTCGTGTCTCGTACTCCAAAAAAAAAAAGTGTCATGTCTCCGCATTCAATTGTCCTAGCTTTTGATGATATTCGTCAAATTACTCGCATTATAAGAATTAAAGCAGAACACTTTTTTTTACACTCAATGTGTTGGCACATCATTAAACAAGTTAACAATGATTATAATTACCTGATAACTCAAACTAATTTATTGTTCTACCAACACATGATAGGATAATAATATAAAAGATTTTTGCACTAAAAGTGAATTAAAATTAAGCTCATCATAAATAAAAAGCAAAAGATCTTTGTCGTAAAGAATTTAGTAATGCTTCCTTGAAAGTTGAAAGCATCCACCTACAACTATTCCACATTAAGAAGGTCAAAATCATTTCTTGACAGCCTCTCTAATGTGGGGGTACCGATGAGCCCATCGAGAGAAACCTGCACAACAATTAAGAGTTACAAAACGCAAAAACTGCTTCAGAAAGCCTTTATAAAGTAACATATTCACCAGCAGAGACTATCTCATAAAGATCCATATCCGCTTTCGTATCCTGCAATAGGTTGTAACAAAAAAGTGTATAAGTAACTGCGACATTAAAATACAAATATCTCTGTACCAAATAAAAGAAACACAAATATCTAGTTCATCAGTGTATAAGTAATCACAATTGCCCGATTTGGATTCCTAGAGGGCTATTGTTGGTTTTAGAAATGAGGAGGAGTATCTAAATACAACTGAACAAACTACAGGACAGAAAGAAATAAGAACCAAAGTGGAAACAAAGGAAAGTTCCCAACAATGACAAATTGCAGTGCTTAACTCCTTTTCCTCTTTTCAGTGACGATGAGTCCATTGTATCCAAGGGTATAAATATACGGAGTTCACATGCAACTTTTTCTACTAAACATTTTATTATTTTAGTGGACGAGGTGCATGACACAGTTCAAATTTAACAGAAGGCCAAGAATAGGCATTTTGATATCTTGAACCAGAATTAGAACAAGATCTAAACATTTTTACTATCTTAACTAGAGAATTCTAATTATTTGATTGATGCGTAAATGCTTCAGAATTATATACAAGTTATATAAAATCTATCTTCACTATGATGCACAAACTAATGATGTGGCTGCATCTAAGTTTTACAGGAAAAATGTTTAAGCGGTCCCACTTGAACTCATGCAGACAAGCCAGCAATTTGGACAGTTCTTTTAACAAAACATTAAATCACACTATGCACATGTGATATGATGAAAGAATAGAGAGAAGGAGAGAGAGACTGAAGGATTTTGGAAGTTAAAGGATAATAAGGATAGGTTATTCCATCTATCTTTTTTTCTGCCTACCTTTTCCTACCACTCTCCAACATCGTTAGATTAGAATCTTAATAGAAGAGAGAAATAATAAAAGTAGTTAAGATTCTGATTTAATAGTGTTGAAAAGTGATAGGCAAAAATAGGCAGAAAAAAAAATAGATAGAATAACCTATCCCAGGATAATATCACCAAATTTTGCCACATAACTTATTGTGAAAAGTCAAATTGATCAAACATACAAATAAACATAGCCAAGATTATTATGTTAGGATGAACTTGTGATAACACTAGAGAAGGATAAGATAACAAATGAATATTATTTTAATACTAATCACTTTCATAGATGAAAGAAGGGAAACGATACTGCTGAATCAAAAATAAATCATTTATTGCTAATTCCTACCAATGTTGGGCAACAAAATCGCCTGAATCAACAATACAACTTTGACCAAATTTATTTTACCAATAATGAAAGGGAATTCACAATTCACCTGTTCTGATGAAGCCAGACATCTTGCAATGAGCTGATAAAGACTACTGAGAGTGCTATAGTTGAAATCAGGATGGTTTAGAAGGGCCTCTTCTGATGTGTAATCAAATATCAGTGCACAAATGCTTGAAGCCATCATCATACTTGACATGTCATCAGTATTTGCTACAAACAATGTTTCAGTAACTAAAATTTAAGAGAAATGCCTTAATCCATACTTTGAATTCAATCAAAAATAAACATTAAGGATTAACATTGATGGTATTTGCCACAGTAAAATCAACAGCACAAAGATCAGTCAGCAAATTTTATAAAATTTATGCCAAGGTTAAATTTTTCTAACCATTGCAGGAGCATTTAAATCCCATCTACTAGGATTTTTCCAATTTTAAACATCATAAATTTTTTCATGGGGCCCCATCACACATGATAAGCACAAGACCAGGAAAAGTTGAGGGTTATTTCCAAAATCCATGTTCTTCAAGAATGTTTGCATGACTACTTCCCCCTTTCCTTTTGAGTATTGATCATTGAATCTTAGCATGAACAAACAATTCCCCTTAGTATGAATTCACCTTTCAAGACTCAATTTTTTATTAATTTTCTTGTTAGTGAGACTTAATTGTCAAAAATTATCTTCACTCCCGCTGATTGATGAGACAATATTAGTTTCAACATCAAGTGTTTTACTCATTTTTCATTCCATATCACCAAAAAGGTAACAAAGATAAAAACATTGAACAAGATTAACTCAGACTACTATAGCTCCGAGCAACAGCAAAGTCACACTTACTTGCCTTATGTCATCAAAAGCAAGAAATATGCTTGGCTTTGACTTGTCAACAATGAACAACTAAAATACTGTCCCTTTTACTGACTTCACATCCTCTCACAACACAGTTTAAATCCACAAAATCTTCATCTGCAATTTGTACCAGATTCTGAACCTAATGCTATTTCTCACACATATATGCCAATAACTGAACTGGAATTCATCTGTAAGCTACAAGATAGTCCAATATGACAAACTATGCATGCTAGTCCATTTGCAGCAGATCACCTATCACTTTTTAAACATACATGCAAACAAGCAGATGAACAAGCAAGGAATTTGATTATAAAAATATGATCAATGAAAACACTCATTTCAATGGGTGCTGCCAAGTATGGTACCTGACCAATAAGCCAATGCTTTAAGAAGATCAACAAAAGCTGACTCATCTAACACCAACTGCACTTTGTCTTTCTACAGTCCAAAAGGTGCAACTTATGTCAAGATTTTGCATAACCAATATAGTACTATATAAGGCTGGTTATTATAATGATAATATCACCTTCAGTAGAAGATTCATTATTGTATCACATGCCAAGAAGATGCAACCACTATCCTCCACCATATAATCGTCTGACCCAACTAATTTACTGAGGCAATATAAAACCTGCAATTAGACCCAATATATTTAGCAAAAAAAAAATGCTTGGTTAGTAATGCTATTGAATGATGCCATTACAACAAATGTAAAAGTCATGTTAGAATATAACAATATAATATAAATAGAACAATGCAACGATCAAGGAATCATTAGGAGTTGTAAATCAACAAAGTAAAAAGGAGGAAGGGGGGGAAAAGGGAAGTACAAATTAAAATTTTAAGTTTCGGAACCAGAAAATAACTTACAGCTGTAAGACCTCCACATGAAGACAGAGCTATGCATCCTTCAATCTTCATAGTAATTTGACACAACATAGGTAGCAGAAAGCACACAGAGTAGAAGGGCCTGCAACATAGAATTATCATGCTCCAAAATAGACATATGTACACCCTCAAAAAAAAAGAAAGATAAATAAATAATAAATAAATAAAAAACACAACGAACAATGTACAGGGTAGCTTATCCTTTAAAGATAATACGATCAAAGGTTTACCAATAACTATCTATTTAAAGATACCTTTGTTCATCTTCACCTTCAACAGAAAGCAAATACCCTAAAAGATCTTTAACCTTCTCCTTGCATGCAAAGGGTGCTTCTGCAAGATAGCTGAAAAAAATACATGAAAAAAACTCAGTCTTTCCTCTCTAAATTTTTTCAGAATGTAGAAAAAAAATCCTCAACCAAGTTCCAGACCCTATAACATATCCTATGCATCAAATATAAGAGAATGTTGTCACAAAACAACAGATGTACAACTACAAAGTGATAATGATATTAATCCTTTCATGGCTCGTGAGCCTCCAACCTTGACAAGCTATCAAGGCCTACACTTCAATCCCAAAGTGCTCTTGCATGAGGCACGGGTTATATATAAAATCATTTTCCGACCTCCACCTAATATAAGTTTCTAGAATAGTTGGTCCTTCACAAAAAGCACCTCTTCCCTGGAGGATGAAGATTGAACAAACACCGAAGTATTTAAAATTAGCTAAGATTTTCCGTATTATTTACAATTAGCATTTAGAAAATAAATCAAATTTGCATATCTCATTTCCTGATGCAGCAACTTTTAGATAGTATAGCATATTAAAATGGCCAATCATCGTTAACACATCCAAACAACATCATGTTCCACATTAATAAATTGGATGAAAGATGTCTTCCACACATTATTAGATTTACATCATTCAAGGGATTGATGAAATGTCGATACATCACCTCACTCCAATCCATTTAGTGCCAAAGAAAATTACAATTTATGCAAAGGAAGCAACTGTAATAGATTATACCTCCCAATAATTCGCACAGAAGCAAGTAAATCATTCCCTTTCTTTTGCCCATGTTCCTGTACAATTTTACCAATATACTTAGGTGCAGTATATTAAATATTAAAATTACATTAAACAACTAAACATCGGCATTACCTTCGCATCTTCTAAATACTCCAGTACAACAACAATTGTTTCATTAAGCTGGTGAATCAGCTTTGTGAAGGTGCCTTCATCAAGGAGGTTCCCTGTTAAGGAAAAGAGTATTAAGTGATGAAATTGCATTATACCCAATTCACAAGAACCTACCCACAAAAGACAAGTTCCCAACAGTGTAAACACCAGTATCAAATGTGAGATGACGATCAGATTCTCAAGCAATCAAGATTGCAATAGAATAAAAATCCACATGGTTGACACAGATAGTTCCCTATAAGGGGTTATAGACAACAAAACAAGTATAACCAAAAGTTGTTGTTAGAAGGTATTTGTATAGGCTGTTTACATTATATTACCACATTGTGTAAAGAGGACTCAAGCCCATATAAATATAGATCCTTGTTTAGTTTGATTAAACACAACCCAAATTTAAGTGTTGCATAATTTAAAATAGAAATCCCATAGCAGCTCTAGTCACACTCCCACCGAGACGTTTGCATCTTAAGCAACTGTCGTCTCTTTGTCATTACGTCCCTCCAACAACTTTCCCAGCTACTGGCCACGGGCCTACTAAGAAGTTTCCTTTCCCTGTGATACTGTTCAAGCACATTTTTTTCTTGTTCGATATGAACTAAGGCCAATTCTGGTTTCTATGTCCCTCTGAAGGATGTTCTAAATCTTGAGATCCGGCCCTTGCTGTCATTTTTTTTTTTCTAATGCTAATATAGCGTTGACTGGGAGGAATTTGGAAGTTGCACTCTAGTCCTATCGGAACATCCTAGTTGTAATTGTCTAGCCCCGTAAGATCGTCCAAGTTCCAATCAAGCCCAGTCAGATTGTCCAATTGCTGCCCGGCCCCGTCAATCTTCATCCCAGAGTTGCTATCTTGCCTGTAAGACTTTTTCCTAAATGTGTCATGGTTTTCCTAAATGTGTCGTGGTTGGATCTCCTAAGTTTAGGTGTGGTTGAAACTTCCAAATGCTATTCTTGATGAACTTGGAGAAGTTTTAGTTCCTCTTGTGTATGCTTGCTCGCCATAACATTTCCACTGATAATCATTCCAGCCATTGTTGAGTCGTATTTCCTGTAATTTTTATCTTTGTAAGGGTTTATTTGTAACAAGCTTAAAGCTTAGTTAGCTTTAGCTTGACATGGAGTGTTAGAAGTATTCTAAATACGTTGTTAAGAAGTCCCACAATTTTAAATTAATCTTATATAATTGTTATAGTCACTCTATATAATAGAGTCTCCATTATGCTATTGTAACACGTGAATTTAAACATTTTACTCTCGGATCCATGTTATTCAACAAGTCTCTTTTTTCCTCAAACTCTACTAAAATCCCTATAATTTCAACAAGAAGATAACAACTAAAGGGTAATGGACTGAATTTGAGCAAAGGAACTGTCTGATGTTATTACTTTTTTTCCTAAAAATGGAAAAACAAATTTTAAAGGCCAAGTGAATTGAATATCTTTGAACATACCATCATTTCCACCCGCATTTGATATTAATTTTATTATCTTCTCAACCAAAGAGTAGGCAACAGCCACATTTCGTTGCTTTAAAAAAATTGCCTCAGCAGTGGCTGAAGTATCCTGAGGTGCTTCATATTTTAAATAGGCCAACTCATTCAGAAGAACAGCTATTTCAACCCTCGATTGCTCCAAGACTAGCAATAAACACCTAAAATGGGAAGAGATCAGAAAATGAAGCAATGAGCACACGGTGCAGATGGCAAAAAGGTTAGCATTTAACAAGCACAGCTTACATGTCAGCTGGAGTTGGATCTTGTACATCATTTGTGCTTACTTGGCTAATCAACCAATCTTCTCCATATATAGAAACCATAGACTCGGCTAAAATGAGAGCATGAAGCCTTTCAGCAGGAGCTGCATATGAATGACAAATTAAGCAATTAATCTAGCTTAGTAATTTCTTGTTTTAACTCAAATCCACAAAAAGCAGAAGATTATGGTAAGGACATTTGTTAGCTCTATAAAAATGCAGATTATGTGAGTAAACTTTCATGTGAACAGAGGAAGTTCTTTTTCATATACCGAACACTCAAACAAACCACCATCTAGAAACTAACTTTCCAGGCTTGAGAACAGTAGTTCATAAATTGAACAGTGTCATAGTCAGAAAAGACTAAGATGAGCACTTATTATGAGAGATATCACAGCAGTACTGAGTTTGCAATTGCATGACTTGTTTCTTATAGCTACTTCATCCAATACCCTCCTTAACAACTACAACGGTCAAATTAAAATTATTATCTTCTCCTAAACCAAGCGACAACCAGATTAAAATTGCATTTGAAAGTTTGCTCACTTGCTCCATTACATCATCTTTGGGTTCAACTATATCTTCTCACCTTTGTTTATTTTAACACCACCTCATCTAAATTCTCAGAATTTTCCTGTATTCAATAATCCATGATTGCTTATGGAACATTAAAATTTATCTGAATAACATCTATCACCTTTCTCTAAACACCAGCTTATCCTCTCTTTTTCTTCCTTTTATATCTATGAACTTTTCTTTAAGCGTTCTTACATTTTACAATAATCCAAACCTTCTCTTTTCAATGCTAAGAAAACCGAATATGGAATCATTACCGCGATCTTAGATAACAAAGCTTGCAGACTTACACCTTTCAGTATGCAAGATCCCAGAACAAGTATATACCTTTATCAGCTGAGAGACATTTGTAAATTTACAACTTTAAAGAACCTAATGAGGGAACAAAGAAGGAGAAACTGAAAAAAAAAAAAAAAAGGTAAAATAACATAGTACACATAAATAAGCAAATTGTCTCAACATACCAACACGATTCAGCAAAATGGCCATGATACCAATGCGCATGTTTTGTGACCAGCTATTTTCAGGAAGTAACCGGAGAGCATCAACAAGTTGTGACTGAAAATGCCAAGCACGTCAATTGCAAGACAAATGAATCTACGTGTACAACACTGTACATAATGTTGAACCCATGAAGATCATGAATAAAATCCTTTTAAATCAGTTCAATTTATGCAACTCTATGGATTCGACGTAGCAGGCTAGACATGAAGGTACATAGTGTTGAACCCATGAAGGTCTTGAATAAAATCCAAATAAATATGTTCAATTTATGCAACTTTATGGATTATCCTGGTAGCAGGTTAGACACCTTGATCTCACAAGAAATACTAACAGTCAAACCAAAATAGGCGCTATTTATAAGAAAACTTCCTATATTATGTGCACAATATTATAACAAGCAAATGCCCTAGACCTACACTGCAAAAGAGATGACTCAAATATGGAGAACATCATCCAATTTCTTATCCAGCAGCTACTGGGTAAATATCAGTACACAGCAACAACCTCAAATATATCAAATTCCAGTGGCATGGTTAATTTTTAAATAGCTTTCTTTATCAAGCATTTGACCATATGAATTGAAAGGTGAAAGCAACTGGATAAGACAGATTACATACTGAATCTTTTGAAGATAGAATTGCACTAAGTAGGTGGAGAGCTTCGAATTTCAAGGAATTGTGCAAGACAGCAAACTGCCTTGCTATTGCTGCCACCTGAAAAGAGACAAGCAAAAAATATTGCTAAAGACATTTAACAGTTACAGAAGTTTATTAAGCATGATGCAAGATTACAAATCAAACGAGAACAAAATAACTCTGAATTCAGAAATACAAATATTTGAAGAGTACACTCACAATAACCGAGAGCTCAGATAAGTAATCATTCTGGATTATGTCCAAGGACATCCGACTAAGAATCAATTGCAAAAGTTTAATCGATATTTCCATCATATGCGAACCTGCATAATGTTTGACTAATGTGATTTATGATGCATAGACAAAAATATAGAAGCAAAAGTTCCCAACTCCCATGTTTGTAGATATGTATGTAACAGCAGTATGTATTATATTAGTGTATTAGCCCAATATAAATAATTAAAATTCACCAACTGACCAACAACAGTTTCTTTCAGTCCCATAGTAACAAGTATAAAGCAAGCAAGCTATCCCAGTAGACAATAAGATCTTACCATCTTGCAGAGAAGACACCTGAGAAGCTAGTATCTTGATACCTCCAGATTCATAAAATCTCACGATTCCATTTTCCGAAGCAGTTGATACCAAGTATAAAAACTCATAGCATTCTTCAAGAACAGATGAGCCAGATCTAAACAAGAAGATTTAAAGACAATTATAAAGCAAAACCACTTCATCAAAACAAAGTAAAATGAAGGATTGATGTCGTATGAAACTAAAAGTTTAATAAGTGCAAGCCACATGTCTTCACACAAGGGGACAAACGTCAAAAAAAAAAAAAAAAAAACGGATAAAGAACATCATAAGTGCGTAAGCGTAACAATATTTGAAAAAATAAATAAAGAAAATGAAAGAGTATCATACTAAGATTGGGATCTTGAAAATTAAAAGAAAAAGAAAAAGACCATACTGGGTGGACATTACTTGCAATATAAGTGGGATATTGAAAACCATGTCTTCGGATGAAGCAATCTCCGGAACACGACAAAATGCAGAAAGAACAGTAACCGATAGTCTTAAATATGCATCCCGATTATTGTCCCCGCCAGTGGATATAGTTCCTTTTCCCATACCTAATTTCGTAGAAGATAGGGTCAAAAAAGTATAATCGTAAACCCTAAGGAGTGAAGGTGAAGAAAGCGAGTACCAGTTCTGAGTAGACGATCAAGAAAGCGAGTGCCAACGGCGTCGTAAACCCTACGGAGTGAGGAGTGATCATCTGCTTTGCAGAACTTGGTAACCAGAAGAAGCCCAGCGAGACGCTGTTCGTCTCGCTCTCCTTTCAACAGCTTCAAGCATTCCTCGAGATTTGGAGACTCTTCTTGCTGTGCTTCCTTCATTTTTTTTTAAAAAAAATATTCAAAGAATTGGAAACGAAAGAGAGGAATCAAATTAAAGAATAAGAGAGTGGGAAAGAGAGAAAATCAAATTAGAGCATAAGAGACTCTTCACCATTGAAGGGCTTGTACAGTATTGAAGAGAACTTTCGGTTTCAGAACCTTCTTGAAAATCCTCCTTCCCTCCTTATGTTTGTTTATGCGAAAGTGTTGTATAACAGCTGATAAATATGTCTGTCTTAAAACACAACACATTTTTAGTATTGCCCAAATGATGTCGTTTTACTTCTCCAATTCTTTTTTTAATTGATTTTTCGGCACCGAATTATTACTCTATACATGAAGCAGCTCAACAAATTTTTTATCTGGTTGATTATTTTCCTAACATATTTAATTTTATTTGCTAAATTTAAATAATTTATTTCATATCAATCTATTTTAATTATATTTTCTTTGGAAAAATGAGCAAATCATTTTTTTATTATTACTAATTATCATTATTATTATTGATTAGTTTCAATCATTTTTTATTAAAAATCATTAAATTATAATTAAATCTTAAAATTTCGCGCCCTCTCATTAATATATGAATGTCTGATATGTTCGGAATATGAAACATTTCGATACTTCCCTACGCTTTTAACTTTTCCTTTTTTTAATGACTGTAGGGTTTATGAGATTATTGCCAGCAAGTAACATAGTTAGACTTCTTTATTTCCCTCATTATTTTCTCAGGCGCAAGGAGGTGTGAGTGAGTTAGATACTCTTTTTCACAAAATTTTATGATAACAATACGTTAAATTAATAATGGTAGAACAATGTGTTATTTATAGGTAAATATATTTATTACAATTTTGAATCAAATCTTTGAATTTGCCTATAAAAAGGGTGCTTGATCAAGATCTAAACACACCAAAGAAAAACAGCAAATACTTTGGAGAAAGACTTCAGAGAGAAAGCTGAAATTAGAGCGTTTCTCTGTCAGGACTCGAGGAGATAGGGAAAATAATAGTAAAATTATTTTCTCTAAAATATAATCTTTGTAATACTTCATATATTTGTAATGGATGTCTGAGAGCTCTTCCAATGGTTTTCCCCAGTTGAATTTTCACGTAAAATGCTGTGTATAGCTAGTATATTGGTGTTTTTATGCGAGTTGATTTCTTGACCGGTGAAATTAAAGATATAGTTAATTATATCGTTGGTGTCTAGAAAAATGATTCAAAAGTCATACGGCATAAGTTCAACGGTTATTTAATTAGTAATCGATGCAGTAGCACAAAAAGACTCCCACTTAACTTACACTTACCATGTCAATTAATGTGGGTAACAATGTCTTGTTTTCTAACAATAATTTTGCCATTTATTTGGGTCAACTTGCAAAGGAATATTTTATCAATCATCAAAGGGTAGGATTAGCGGTGGCAATTTTCAACATGACACGAAAAATTCAAATTTGTATCGTGTACGAGTTGACAAAAAGTGACCCAAAATATTTCATGTTGTGTCGCGTGTCAACTCATATTATTTTTTTTACAGATTATTCGTATCATGTCATGTCGTAAACAGATTATTCTTATCTTATCGTGTTTTGTCAACTCACATTAATTTCTTTTTACAAGTTATTCGTGTCATGTCATATAGTAAACAGATTATTCGTGTCTTATCATGTTGTGTCAACACATATAATAAGTAACACAATTTGGGATTGACAAGTTATTTGTGTCGTGTCGTGTCAACTGGCATAATAAACGATATACTATGAGTTTGTGGGTCATTCGTGTCATGTCATGTGTGTCGTGTGAACTCGCAAAATAACTCGATTGTGTTCATGTCGTATCAAATTTATACCGTATCATGTTGACCCGAATTGTCACCTCTTGATATGTGGATTAATTAAAATGTGAGTTAAGTTGAACCCACTTATGTACAATGAAAACAATAATAGTAAAATATCATATTATTTGGCTTGCATTGACCCCACATAATGAATTTGGGTTTTCCATTCTAGGTAAATTGTTATAGGGATAGATTATTTTGCTTACCCTTATTTACCTACATTTTTTAACACCCGCAGATTACAATCCAATCTGATGGTTGAGATTTACGAGATAAAATAAATCCTTCTACCCTTTCCTTTCTCCCAATGCATCCCACCCTTTCTTTATCATTTTATTTTCGTCAAGCCTACCACTCCCCATCCACATCACACTCCACCGTCCCAAATCATCCGAACACTGTCAAATATCAGTTCACCATATCAATTACCTTTGTTTTGCTCTACCGTGAGAACTCGGTGCGCTTGTTCTCGACAAATCATTGATACAGGTCCATTAGTCCATTGTCACTTTGTATTTGCATTCACATCATAAGTTTTTTGGCAAATGAATTTGATATTTATGATATATTCTTACAGGGACATAAGAATTCGAAAAGTGAAACATTATTGGACTATAGTTTTTTTAAAAGATGACATTTTTTTGGGCTTCTGTCATTGCTTCAGGCTTCAGCTTCAAAGGGGTGGGGAGGCAATGAGAAAAAGAAAGAGGTAAAAGGATTTGTTTTATCCGTGAACCTCCACCGTTAGATTAGATTGTAATCTAATCGGTGTTAAGAGAGATAGGAAAAAGTAGGTAAAATAATATGGGTAGGGAGAATAACATATCTCATAGTATAATACTCTCACAAGTCACAACTAACATCGTGATAGCAATTGTAATAAGGTATAACTAGCCAAGAGATGGAATAGGAAACTTAAAATCAAAGTTATTGCGAGATGACAGTTAATATAAGTTGAGAAGTTATTACCTCTCTTAACTTTGAATCCATAATACCCAACCTTGACTTCAATTCCTCGGAATCCTTAGCTAAATGCATCTGCATGGCATCATTTGCTTGCTTCGTATCACCCACATTCTAAACAAGTCTTGAAACAACATCCACATTGTAATGTACAATAGCATAATGTTAGAGATATCAGAAAAATAAACACGGAACCTGGAAGTGGTGCGAACACCAATTGATCAGACACAAGTGCTGTGACGATGTGTAGACGTTCAGTAGAGCAGATGATAGCGAGGCAGGATGATCGTCGACGGTGACGGATAACCACGCTTGCAGATGACAGCGAGCAGACAACGGTGGCAGCGAGGCGACAAATCAGCGCTTGGTTAGCGAGAATTTGCTAAGTTTCTCTCCTCACAGGTAGAAAGTTCGACGGCGGCATGAATGCAAGGTGGACGACGGCTTAGGCGTGGACGAACAGAAAATAGCGACGGCGACAGTGGACAAGACCGATTGCATAGGTAGTTGACGACTTATGCAGTGGAAGACATTGTTGATGATGCAAGGTATACGTTGTTGCTCGTCGCTAGCCGAAGAATGTTATTTGAAGACAGTGGGTGATATTAAATCACTAAAAGGTTTGAACTCATATATATAACAGAGGAGATTAATAATCAGAATTATCATACACAGTGCAATTATGAAAATTAGAACAGACTTACTTGATGTCAGTATAATGGAACAGATAGATGAATGTATGCAGAATAATGGAAAAATCTGAGCCCACAGAATGTATCTCCTTAAGACAATTTGCCCTCCTCACTGATGCCAAAGGTTGATGGACAAGTGTCTCCCAGGATAGATCGGATTTCGTTTGAGGAGTGATGTCACTACTAGTCGACAGCCCAAAGAACGCAACAATATGTTAGAGAAAAGTACATCGAAAATCAAAAAGGAGGATGCAAACCGGAAGAAGGAAAAATTTCGGCAGAGTAACAGTACAGATAATTGGATGAAATTTCTGAAGGTGTCAGGGTCTATTTATAGATACTGACCGGTCACAATGAACCGCCGCCGACAGCGAACCGCCGTGATTGACGACCGCGAACGGGTACGATCGGTGATCGGTTCGGTGAACAAGTACAACCGGTGACTGGTTCTCGAAAGGTAAGAATCGGTTCGGTTCAAAACGCTCAAAAAATCGACGGGTATAAACATTTGGTTTTGGAAAAATGGAGGGAAGCAACAGATAGTCATAGGGGCATTTTGGACAAAAAATTAAAAAATTATTTAATAAAAAATTATTTTTATTTCACGAATCGATCCGGTCCGAACGGACGGACGGTGGACCCAAGCCCACCTAGCTCCTCTCCCCTCCACAAAATGTGTAGTGCCCCAAGGGGCAATTTAAGAGTGTGAGGCGGGAGCTTATAAACTCACTCACCTCCTACTAGTTGTCCAATGTAGGACTTCTTAAACTCACACCACACCCCCCTTCAACTTCTCTTTTCTCTGTTATTCCTTAACCCACTTCTTATTCATAACCAATAGATTGTCTATACAATTTCAACATAAATTCCAACATAGAAGAGCGTACCAAGGCGGCGGCGGCAGCTGTGATTTGGGAAGAATAGAAAAAACCCAAAAAAAAAAAAATGATATATGTAACAAGTTTTATTTTGTTCACCCTTCAAGTTTAGTGAACTCTCGTATGAGAGTTGTGTCAGAGAATAATACAAACCAGCCCACTCATCAATTTAAGCGTTAAATGATTCTTTACACATAGCATCGAATTCCACCAAAAGTGCTCATAAACAGCCAATTCAACCTATAAATTTTAAGTTTTTTGTAGTATAAAAAATACATGCCAATAAGCACAAAAAATATAGACAGAAAAAGCCTTTCTTATTCTTCATTACCATTTATTTTCATATAAATAGTCAAAATTCTCCCACATGATATGATTATATTAAATAATATGAGAAAATTTATTTCCAAAATCGCATGTTATATACTTATATTCCATGTGACTTGATGATCCCATTGTTGGCCTGATGCAAAATTCAAATGATATATCTCATTAGCATCTCAAAATTGATAATTATACTAAAGTACAATCAAAGAAAATAAGGCAACAGCATAACGAAAACAATAATTCAAATGAAATAACTAGAAAATACAGCAAATTCAACCTTACGAGAAAATAAATATATTTCCCAACCTGAATAGAGGCAAAAAGAAACGGTATCACAAAAGTCATTCTCAGTCATCTATTTTTTGCGACGGTAAATATGTGTGGCTAGACCGCGCATTTTTATAGTAACCCTGAAACACATGTATTTTTTTTTTCCACCTGTCTATCGAGTGTTTAATACAGCTAGGCACTGGAGATTCGAGTTTAAATCACTGTTAAGTTGGAATCACACCTATTAATTAATCCACATATTTGATGAATTTAATGATAATACGTGTCACCTTTTATTTTATCGTTTTATTATCTTTTTTTTTTATAGCCTCGTTTTATTATCTTTAATTAATTATATTTAGTGTTTATTTCATGTGTAGTCCTCAATCTCAACAGAATGATATTAGCTAATTTATTTTTTTTTGGGTAAAGGATATTAACTAATTTTATTATAACTGTTTTTACTTAATTATATTTTTTATTTGTTTTTAGGCTCTTTTATACATTTTTTGTTTTCAATCATTTACTAGTATTGTGCATCTTAATTTTTAGATAAGATAAAAAAAATTATAATTAATAATGGTATATAAGTTCATTACAATTATAATGTTTTAGAAAACATTTCTCCCACCATATGAAATAAAATTATATTCTATAACTCTAAAATAACATTGGGGTATGGAAAAAAATTAACGACGTTTTTGAAAATTTACTTTTCTTTTTTAATATAAGTTTCTTTTGAAATACTTTGTGTTTTTTTCAAATTTTAAACTATATAAGATAATTTTATCAGATATGAGAAACACTAAATATGTTTTATCACATAATTTTTTAATTTAAATTAAAAAGCACGAGAACAATTTGGCATAGAAATAAATGAATAAATACGTGTTACATAGCATGGGCACACAAAATTTTTGGAAAGATGCGTGTCGGACACTGACACGCGGTCAATATTTTGAGACATGCGGTTAATGTTTCGAAATGTTTTTTCGACACGAAATCAATTTTTTTCGACAAGCGGTTAAATTTCCGACACACATCCGACATTTTTTTTTAAAGTCTAGATTTTATTTTATTAACTAAACATGGAAAAATAATTTATAAATCATTTTTTCTGTTATTAAATTTGACATGAAAAATTAACAAGGTATGAAAAATTATTTTTATTTTTATTTATATTGTGAAATTGGAATATTTTATTGGTTATATGAGTTATTATGGGTTGTTATATGTATTAAATATAAATATTATTTAATATCAAAATGTGTCCTAACGTATCGAAATACGATATTTTTTAGAATTAACGCGTCGGCGTGTCGTGTCCCTTGTCTCATATCAGTATCGGTGCAATACAGAATACGTGTATACATCGAGAGAGGGGGGAAATTATTTAAATAATAATAATATGTAATGGGCATCAAAACACCCAAACATCCAACCATTGGCAAGGACAAACTTATCCACATAAAATAAGTTTAATGCAATTCATTAAAAAAAATTGCTATCTATAAAAAAGAGAGTAGGAAAGGATAAACTATAAGGATCTGTTTGGCCCCTAACTGTCGATTAACAGCCGCCACATAAGGCCCAGCTAATAATCTGCAGTGGGCTGGCAAACGTAATCTTCAGGTCCCTAATCCTAACATGCCGAACACAACCTAACAAATAGCCGATACGTGACTTCACTTGTCTGTCACAATAATAAAAAAAACAGTGCAATAAAAGCTCGACACCTCTTAGAAGTACATCACCACAATACTCATCACTACCACGTGACAAAGAATCATAGGTCCTTGCGTTTTTTAGAAGACCATTTGTGTCACCCACAATGATGCCTCATATATTTATCTGAATGTGGTTGATCTACGTAAAGAGTTCACCTATAATTAGGAATAGAACAAGTTTTTTTTTTTTGTTCGTATTTCTATGTGACTTGTGTCTCTCTACGTGGCTACCATCACCATGGCTGAAAATCAATCGAGGCTTGAAGAATCTTACGATTATGAAGACACGACCACCAGTTCTTGTGGTTGTTTCTGTGGACTATGGTCTCGGTGGTACGGGTCGTGTAAAGAAGAACAAGAAGCGGTGAAAGATGATCATAACTACTGGTTGGTGAAGGAAGTGAAGAAGGTGAAGGCGTTGTCAGAAATTTTGGTAGGGCCAAAGGGGAAGAAGAAGAAGAAGAAGAAGAAGACTTTTATTTTGGGAAGGTTGAGGAAATGGGGTGGAAGGAGAATGCAATTCCGGTATGACCCAGAGAGTTATGCCCTTAATTTCGACGATGGGATACAGAAGGAATGTGATGGTGTTTATCTTAATTTCTCGGCTCGATTCGCATGTCCATTGGGACAAACAAGGTATAATTATTAACAAGCATGTAGATCAACGGTTCCAGTTTGATCAATGGTCTTCGAATATTGAATACGAAGCTGTGTTAAAAATTTAGAAAGTATAATTTTATTGTCTTTGTGACCTTGAATGAATCGAACTAGGCAAATAATCAATGAATCTACGGAGAAATCTCACCTTAAACAACTTATAGTTGGGATTGGAAGGACAGTGAAATAAATTCTTTGGACTTTGCTAATTTGTTATTCTCTCTGCTTGTGATGTTCATATCAAATCTTGTGCATATACATAACCTTTTGTCAATGTATATGGGCTCGAGCTTTTCAAAATTTCCCTTCAAAACTTCATAAAAAATTTCGTCTCAACAGAAGTGAAAATGAAAAATAAACGCTGCTAATCATAATCCGGATAATTTAGGGAAGGTGTTATAGATAGTCTATTGAGCAGTTGCATAATATTAGGAATAATGTTAGGAATGTAAATTGACAATTAGTAAGATGTATATAATGGAATATAGCTTGTATAGTGAAGGATAGTTGAGAAATAATATTCAATTCAATCTTCTTCTTTTTTCATGTTTCTTAAGTATTTGATAGGTTTCATTTTTATTAGGAGATTTATTTTGGCGCTCCCGTCGCACAAAATATTGGAGGGGACGGAGGAGAGAGAGTGAAGAAGAGATTGAGGAGAGAGGAGTGAAAGAAAAAAAAAATCATGTGTCACTCACTTAATAGGAGAACCACCATGGTCCAGGAGTATCTTAAAAACATCCCTTTATCGTAAGGATGGATTGAACTTTTGTGATTTCTTCAAACCTACATTGAGCCTTAAGATTTCAAAATGTACTTATATTCGCTGAATGTAACTTAATTAATAATAAATATAGATAGATAGACACATTAAAAACTAAATGATTTTTTTGTTCTTTATTTTGTAAACCTTTCACCAACGGCCCACCACTTTCTTTAGGAGATTTACGATGGTGTAATTTATATACACGCGTGAAACTCAGGCTGCTACTAATTATTTCAAAAGATTAATTTTGGACCGGTAAATGTAAAAGAATTTACATCGATGATGTAATAAAGCTGAAACCATAAAGAAATATTGCCATACATGCATAATTTTCTTTTTCTTTTTCTTTTTCCTCCCAATTTAGCCCTAGCCTAATGTTTCTTATGTTATCCGATACGATGGATCTGCCATTGAAACAAAATAAATAAATAAATTTCAATTTATAATGTGTTACAAGATTTAAATATTTAAAAAGACTAACTAATAAATCACTTGACTTATAGTATTTTCCTTCTTTCTATCTTGTTAAAATAATAAATAATAAAATCTTTATTTTAAATTGATGTTTAGTTGATTTAAAATTACTTCTCTTTAATTTTATTTATTTAGACTTAGGCTTAAAGCCCAAGCTAAGAAGCAACAAACAAACAGAGAAACCAGAAGGAGACAAAACAAAAGACAAAGGGACACAGATTATATTAATCTATATCAATATATTTTAAAAAATACCTTTATTAATTATTCATTTAATAATTTAAAGAAAATAGAAAAAGGATAAAATTATGATTATGTTTTATTAATCATTTGAAATTATAAATATAAGCATAAAGGTGATGAAAATATATTAAAAAAAAATTTTATCCTCTAGATACAGTTGTTTTCAAACACATTTTACCTTCTTCCATATAATTATAATTTATTTCAAAAAAAATATTTTATTAAAAAAGTACAAGTTTGTTTACCAAAAAAAAATACAAATTTAAAACTAATCGGTGTATAGTTACATTTATTGAGTTTAGCCCAAATTCTTAATAATTGATTTTTTTTTTTTTGGTAAGCAATAATTATATTGATTCTTATTTGTTGGGTTTGGGCGAACCCAATTCTTATTTTGCCTTGTTCTTATAAAGATAATAATAATTCATTATTTTTAGCAGGTGAGGAGGGCTTAAAGCCCAATAATTCATCTTTCCTAAACGAGTCTAACCGAATCAATAATTTAAGCAGATTAGGTATAATTTCGGATAAAAGATTGTTCTTATAAAAGATTGTTTGAACCTCAAGGGTGTTGGGAAATTCGTTCCCTCAAACTCCAATGTCAAGCGGGTCCAGGGGAAGCTCGTGGAGGGGAACCACCAATGAGCTAAGGCTACACCAACCGTAGCAAGTGGATCTGACACCACATCTCAACCCAAAACCTTAAGGCATTGGGTTCATGGGTCCATCCACTTATATGGTCATCACTTGGTCTATGTCTAGTCTATGTGGTATTTCTTTACAACTCATACTTGATTATTTCCAACATCCTCCCTCAAGTGTGAGACCCAACATCATGCTCCCCCTTAAGGGCAACTTCTGCGGAACTCTTTTTTCTTTAAGTATTGGAGTCACACTAGCCTTCTGCAGAGGCCTTCCAAACACTTGGCCCAGATCGTTGGCTCTGATACCACTGTTGGGAATGGAACGAGGGAGCCCAAAACCCTTTACAAAGGGTACATCCACCAATGGGCCAAACGATAAACCACAATAAGTGGACCGACACCACATCTCAACCCAAAACCTTAACGTTGTAGGTTTATGGGTCTTTCACACTTATATGGTCATCACTTGGTCTATGTCTAGTCTATGTGATACTTCTTTACAACTCATACTTGATTATTTCCGACAAAGGGTACATCAGTTGGCAACTGAGCTCCCAAGAGGGCCAATGTTTGGGGGCCAGAGGAAGTGCCTCTTTCCTCGAATGGGAGATTAGTCTCATCATTCTTTCAGGTAGCGAAGCTCAATGCACCCGTTGTTTCAATGAGGGGCTAGCCCAAAAGGCCGTACCCCGAGAATAAGGTGACCGGAGGAGATTGAATGAGGATACCTCCAAGTTATACTAAAAAAAGAATTAATGTACACACACAGTTAAAAAATGAGAAGAATTAATAGTCAATACTATGTCAATAATTTATTAGGGCTCAGATGAAAATTAGTTTGATATAAGAAAAATCTTGTAAGAATCAAAAGAAATCAAATAATTTATTTATTTTAAATTCATGGAGATTGCTGCATATATTATTTATAAGTGCTATTTATCTGCGGTCCTCAATACAAAGACCACAAAGAACAAATATTATTCATTATCGTTGAATTAAATGACGAGTCTCTGAAAAACAGCAATGCTACGAATGAGCATTTTTAATGAAATAAAATTAGTCATGCTAAAAACTTCTAGAAGGACAACCAAAAAATAATAGATTTATAACCATATATTCTGTTTGTTCCATCCAAACTTTTTCAAATTGCTAATACATCTATAGGTACCGTCATAAACCCAATTTACCAATATTTATCCTCCAACCACAGACCATCAAAGGAATTTATGCACTCTGTTTTATCCCTCCTATATTTTCGCCCAAGGAATATGTTTCATGTCATGATGATGACTTTACTGTCACTTGAAGGAGCAGTGTGCCAGCACCATAGTTAGGGCTGATGATTTATAATTTGACATACTAACATGATCCCAATAGGATATGTAATTGTTATGTTTGTGTCAACTCGTATTAATGCTCCTGTCAATCAAAAACCGATATTAGAAAAAACAATGTTGTTTAGGTGGTGTTTGGTTTCATTCTTTTCAATATTTTTCTAGCCAAATGAAATTTGATTTTTAGAAAACTAATGTTTGTTTCAACAGCTTTTGACCAAAACTCATCCAAGTGAAATGCATAACTTTTTGAGAAAGATAGGAATTTGCACTGTTTAGAAATCGGATTTGAGGATGATTTTTTGAGAAAACCCGGGTAAATCACTGTTGACACATTTTTTGTCATATATTCCCTGGTAAAATTTTGTCAAACCAAACTACTCTTTTTTAAGTTCCTCATCTATTCAACTTTCCCTATGAATACCTAGTAATTACATTTCTTTAGTATTTTTAAAATTTATCTTCAACCAAACACCCGTTATCTGTATTCATGTCTACTCACAAGTCACAAGTGATCCGTTTAAATTAAACAATTATATAATTATATATTTATTCTATTTTTTATTAATTTTAAGTTGTTTATGTATTCTTTATTTAGAAAATAAAATTGGCATATTACGCACCACTAGGGTTAGCCTAGTGGTGTGGGGTGTGTGTGTTAGGAGTGTGTGTAGTGTAGGGTGTTGTGTTCAATTCTTGTAAGCTCCAAAAAAAAAAAAAAAAATTGGCATATTACTTATATTGTTTCGGTTGCATTTATTTTCATGTTAAATTCGTATAATTCAAAACACAACCTGCTATCCCAAATTATCACTCAATGCCATGGACGTAAATATCATGAAAGGGCAAACAATAAAAGCTTATTTAATACTAAATATTTTTAGTTACAGCTAATTGACCTCAATATTGTTCAAAATAATCCTCCCAACTTTCAAATAAAGAAATTATTAAATATTTATTATTGAGCTAACTCTCCTAACCTTTTTTGCATTAAAAAAGTGACTAATGTACACATTCATTTTTTTTATTACCTTATGCCTTGATTAGAACCATTTATATTTGTGCTGATTACGTGATCTTCTCTACACAAATATCCCCAATTGATTTGGTGTAGCTTCAACACATGAGTCTTCTCTGGAATAAAATAAGGGTGTACTGTTGTTGTCCTTAGCAATAAATTGAATTTAAGCATGGGAAGCAAGGTTCAATTAATCAGGCATAGCATTGCACATACAATCATAAAGATTATTATACTAAGCATGAATGATTTCCAAGTCAAACTTAAGATGATGCTTAACACTACATTCAAACATCAGAGTCTAACTTGATTACCCCTCAAAAGACATGATATTCACTCATCACTCAGTGTTTGGGGTCATTCATCATCACTCATTTCATCGCAGCTGTTGTACTACCATAAGCTTGATCTTTTTCTCAAGTTCCTAAAGATGAGGAACATCAACACATGCCTGATTGATCAAAAGGGCTTCTTAAGGTTATAACTTGGCTTGGCTTAAGGTTAGAATCTTTTGGAAAGTAGCTGAATAATTATTGAGATTGAAACACCATTTTCATTAAGACTCAATCATCTCTCAATTCAAGTTTTAGCTCCACTTTTTATTCGAATTCATGATTCCTTCCTTTTTCTCACTTTTTCCTTCATCATTGCTTGTCAATTTTTGCAATTTATTTTTCTTTCTCTTTATATTCATGTGAGAACTATTCTTTTCTTTTCCTTTTCAACTGCTTAACTTCTAGTGGAGCTTACCTCAATTACTTCTAACTTTTTGATTATTGACATTTTTTATCTCAATCAAGGTAAGTTCTGATGGAAGTGGTCTAAACAGTTTAATAAGGTAATTAAAAAAAATTGGTCTCAGGCCCAACATGGCTAACAATGGATGATTTCTCATGTAGCTATTTGGCCATAAGCTTAATAGAACAAAATGCCTCTATCACTTCAATCAACACATGCATTAGAGAGAATTAGATCAAGTTCTAGAGTACTACTGCAGTGAGGACACTCTAAAAAAATTCAACTGTATAGGCACAAACCTCACAAGCTGTGGTATCAAACTAAACTCCTCTTAATTTCATTCTAAGCATCATTATCATAGAAATCAAACAAATGAGCAATCACAATCTCTATTCATGCTCTATGCAATGTTATGACAATTCTGCATATCATGCAATGCTTCCTCATATCCAACCAAGGAATTGACTGAGTAGCACATCTAAATCAGAATTTTTCTTTCTCATAGCAGGAAATGAAACTAAAAACACAAAATTTCTACCAAAATGAAAAAATAAAAATGAAAATAA